GGCTCCGCCACACGTTGAAGTTGACGCCGGGGTCGGGGACAGCGACGGCCTCGGGGAGGTCACAGTGGGGGCCGCACCCGGCCTGGGGGGGACGGACACGGTGACCGAGGGGACCCCGCCCGTGTCCCCAAGACCCCCCAAATGTCCCCGATGTCCCCAAGCCCCCCCAAATGTCCCCAAGGCCCCCGAAATGTCCCCGATGTCCCCAAGCCCTGCAATGCCCCCACACCCCTCAATGTCACCAGCCCCCCCAAATGTCCCCAATGTCCCCGATGTCCCCAAGCCCCCAAATGTCCCTGAGCCCCACAATGTCCCCAAGTCCCCCCCACTGTCCCCACACCCCCCGATGTCCCCACTGTTCCCAAGTCCCCCCGGTTGTCCCCGCTGTCCCCGCTGTCCCCAATGCCCCGATGTCCCCGCTGTCCCCTCTGTCCCCACTGTCCCCACTGTCCCCAAGCCCCCCGCTGTCCCCGCTGTCCCCTCTGTCCCCTCTGTCCCCGATGTCCCCACTGTCCCCACGCCCCCAGATGTCCCCGCTGTCCCCGCTGTCCCCAATGCCCCAATGTCCCCAATGCCCCAATGTCCCCACTGTCCCCACGCCCCCCGCTGTCCCCGCTGTCCCCTCTGTCCCCGATGTCCCCAATGCCCCGCTGTCCCCACTGTCCCCAAGCCCCCCACTGTCCCCAAGCCCCCCGCTGTCCCCTCTGTCCCCGCTGCCCCCTCTGTCCCCGATGTCCCCACTGTCCCCTCTGTCCCCGATGTCCCCACTGTCCCCACGCCCCCAGATGTCCCCGCTGTCCCCGCTGTCCCCAATGCCCCAATGTCCCCGCTGTCCCCAAGCCCCTCGCTGTCCCCGCTGTCCCCGCTGTCCCCGCTGTCCCCGCTGTCCCCCCTGTCCCCGCTGTCCCCTCTGTCCCCAATGCCCCAATGTCCCCACTGTCCCCAAGCCCCTCGCTGTCCCCGCTGTCCCCGCTGTCCCCGCTGTCCCCAAGCCCCCCGCTGTCCCCCGCTGTCCCCAAAGCCCCAATGTCCCCACTGTCCCCAAGCCCCCCGCTGTCCCCGCTGTCCCCGCTGTCCCCGCTGTCCCCTCACCGTGCCGCGCTCGGCGTCGCGCGCCTCCAGGATGAAGCGCTCCATCACTCGGGGGGTCGCAGAGCGAGGGGGGGCCCTCGGGACGGGGCTGGGGGCGCCCCGGGACCCCCAACAGCAGCAGCAGCAGCAGCAGCGAGCACAGCCCTGGGGGGGGGACACGGGGGTCAGCGGGGACATCCCGAGGGACGCGGGGACAGCCCCGGGACACGGGGACAGCCCAGGAATGGGGACAATGGGGACACGGGGACAGCCCCGGGACACGGGGACATCCCAGGAATGGGGACATGGGAACAGCCCCGGGACACGGGGACAGCCCCGGGAATGGGGACACGGGGACACGGGGACAGCCCCGGGACATGGGGACATGGGGACAGCCCCGGGACACGGGGACAGCCCCGGGAATGGGGAAAATGGGGACATGGAGACAGCCCCGGGACACGGGGACAGCCCAGGAATGGGGACACGGGGACAGCCCCGGGACACGGGGACATCCCAGGAATGGGGACATGGGGACAGCCCCGGGACATGGGGACATCCCGGGAATGGGGACAATGGGGACACGGGGACAGCCCCGGGAATGGGGACACGGGGACAGCCCCGGGACACGGGGACATCCCAGGAATGGGGACATGGGGACAGCCCCGGGACATGGGGACATCCCAGGAATGGGGACACGGCGACAGCCCCAGGACACGGGGACATCTCAGGAATGGGGACAATGGGGACACGGGGACAGCCCCGGGACACGGCGACATCCCAGGAATGGGGACAATGGGGACAGCCCCGGGACACGGGGACATCCCAGGAATGGGGACAGCCCCGGGACACGGGGACATCCCAGGAATGGGGACACGGGGACAGCCCCGGGACACGGGGACAGCCCCCGAACCCCCGGGACCCCCCGGCCCAGGGATACCGGAGACCCCCCCTCACCTGAGCGTTCCCCCCTCACCTGAGCGTTCCCCCCTCACCTGAGCCCCCCCTCCCTTGAGTGCCCCGCCCCCCAGAACTTCCCGGGCTCTCGGTGGCCCCCGGGACCCCCGACACACCTGGGACCCCCCCCCCCGCGTGGTGTCCCCCCCACACCTGTGTCCCCGCCGGCCACCTGAGCGCGCGGGACGCACCTGGGCACCCCCAAACTCCCCCCCCGCGAGACCCCCGGCTGTTACCTGCGCCCCGCCCCTCCCGGTGCCGCCGCACACGTGGGTGTCCCCCCTCCCCCGCACACCTGGGTCCCCCCCCGGCACACCTGGGACCCTCGGGCACACCTGGGCCCCCCCGGCACACCTGTCCCCCCCCGCCGGCGCCCCGCGCTCACCCGCCGCCCCCATGGCCGGCTGCTCATGGCCCGGGGGTCCCTGGTGGCCGTCCCGGGGCTGTCCCGTCCCCGCCGCGTCCCCCGGCCCCGGCCCCGGTTAATGTTTGATCCGAGGGGCCGCGGGGCCGGAAGGGCCCTTGGGGGGGGGGTTTCCATCCGCTCCCCCCGCCGCCCCCCCCAGACCGTCGAGGAAAAGGCAGCGCCGGGCGCAGCACGTCGGCCCCTGGCCACGGGCCACCCCCGGGCGCCGGACAGGCGGGGGGACACCGGGAGGGGGGGACACCGGGACGGGGGGGACACGGGGACGTGAGGAGCCAGGCACGGAGGTGTGGGAATGGCGGGATATGGGGGGGACACGGCGGGGACACGGGGATGGGGGGACACCGGGAGGGGGGGCTGGGAATGCAGGGACACGGGGGAGACACAGGGAGGACATGGGGGGGACACGGGGACAGGGGGACACGGGGGGGACACGGCGGGGACAGATGGACACGGGACAAGAAAAAAGGGTGAGACGGGGATGGTGAATGGGGGGACACGGGGGGACACGGGGACACAGGGAAAAGGGGGACACAGGGATAGGATGACAGCGCGGGACAGGGGGACATGGCGTGACACGGGGTGACACGGGGTGACACGAGGATGGGCACGGAGGTGTGGGGACAGGAGGAGGGACACGGAGGGGACATGGAGGGGACACGGAGGGGACAGAGGGACACGGAGAAAGAGGGACACAGGCACGGGGGATTGGGCACGGAGGTGTGGGGGGACACAGTGGGGGTCAGGGTGGGGACACGGGGACACAAGGACACACAGGGACACACAGGGACACACAGGGACAAGGAGCCCGACATGCAGATGGGGACAGAAGTGGGGACAGGGGCACGGGGAGTTGGGGACACACGGGGACGGGGATGGGGGACAGGGAGAGTGCCATGGGGGGCACACGGCGACAACGCCCCGGGCACGGAGGTGCGGGACGGGGACAGAAGTGGGGACACGGCGGTGGCAGAGCGGGCGCGGGGACGGCGACATCGGCGTGGGGGGACACGGGGATGGCGACACGGGGATGGGGACGCGGGGACGGCGACTCGGGGACACCCCCGGGCCGTGGGAGCGCGGTGACACGCGAGCGGGGACACGGGGACGCGCCAGGCCGGGGGATCCCGGGATCCCCCCGGGCCCGGCGGAAGCGGCCGAACAATGGGGCAGCGTCACTGTCGCCGTCACCGTCCCCGCCGGCAGCGCCACCGCGGCCCCGGGGGCGGCCCCGGGGACCCCCCGGCCCGGGGGACACGGAGGGGCAGGGGGGGGGGGACACGGGCAGGGCCGAGGGGACGGGAGGCGACACTGGGGACACGGAGGGGGCGACACGGGCAGAGCGGAGGCGACGCGGCGGGCACGGGGGGCGCGGCAGGGGCCGCGCGGGACACCCAGGTGACACGGAGGTGACACGGGGGACCCGGAGGTGACACGGGCCCCCTGCCAGGCCGTACGTGCGGCTCCGCACAGCCCGGCCGCGGCTCCGGCGCCAGCGGGGCCAAAGGGCACCCGGGGGCGGGGGGACGGCGACAGCGACAGCGACGTCACCGACGCCAAAGGGTCCCCCCGGTGTCCCCCCCCCCCCGGGCAGGGACAGCCCCGCACGGCGGGGACGGCCCGGGGACAGCCTGGGGGACCCCCGGTCACCGGGAGCCCCCTCTGGTCACCTGGCGGTGCCTTTGTCACCTGCGTGTCCCTTTTGTCACCCGGGTGTCCCTGCGTCACCAGGGTCCCCCTCGTTTCCCCCTCCCCCGTGCACCTTTAATGTCCTCAGGGTCACCTGGACCCCCCCAAGTACCCACATTTCCCCATGGGTCCCTTTTTGTCACCTGGGTCCCCCTGGTGTCCCTCTTTGTCACCTGGGTCCCCCATGGGGTCCCTCTTTGTCACCAGGGTCCCCCTGGGGTCCCTTTTTGTTATCTGGGTCCCCCTGGTGTCCCTCTTTGTCACCTGGGTCCCCCCGGTCCCCTCTGGGGTCCCTCTTTGTCCCCTGGGTCCCCCATGGGGTCCCTTTTTGTCACCTGGGTCCGCCTGGTGTCCCTCTTTGTCACCGGGGTCCCCCTGGGGTCCCTCTTTGTCACCTGGGTCCCCCATGGGGTCCCTCTCGGTCACCCGGGTCCCCCTGGTGTCCCTCTTTGTCACCTGGGTCCGCCTGGTGTCCCTCTTTGTCACCTGGGTCCCCCCGGTCCCCTCTGGGGTCCCTCTTTGTCCCCTGGGTCCCCCATGGGGTCCCTTTTTGTCACCGGGGTCCCCCTGGTGTCCCTCTTTGTCACCTGGGTCCGCCTGGTGTCCCTCTTTGTCCCCTGGGTCCCCCCAGTCCCCCCTGGGGTCCCTCTTTGTCCCCTGGGTCCCCCCCCGTTGTCACCCGGACCCTCTCCCTGTCCCCCCCGCCAGGTCCCCTGGGTCCCCCATTGTCACCTGGGGGTTTCCTGCCCCAAATGTCACCGGTGACGCAGAGGAAGCCCCAGTCCCGCCTCACAGCCTGTCCCAAAAAACCCCAACAATCCCCAAAAAACCCAAATCCGCCCCAAAAACCCCGAGGCGTCACTGCTGCTGCCACCGGCTTTATTGGGGTGTCACCTCCCTGTGCTCCCCCCAAAGTCTCCAGGCTGCTGTGGGGAGCCTTGGGGTGACATCGAGGCCTTGGGGTGACATCAAGGGCCCAGAGTGACATTGAGAGGCTCAGGGTGACACCGAGGGGCCTGGGGTGACACCAAGGGTTTGGGGTGACACGGAGGGCTTGCAGTGACATTGTGGGCTCAGGGTGACACCGAGAGCTTGGGGTGACATCGATGGTTTGGGGTGACACCAAGGGACCCGAAATGACATCGAGGGCTTGGGGTGACGTCCAGAGGCTCAGGGTGACACCGAGGGGCCTGGGGTGACACTGAGAGCTTGGGGTGACACCGAGAGCTTGCAGTGACACTGTGGGCTCAGGGTGACACTGAGAGCTTGGGGTGACATCGAGAGCTCAGGGTGACATCCAGAGGCTCAGGGTGACATCGAGGGCTTGGGGTGACACCGAGGGCTTGCAGTGACATTGTGGGCTCAGGGTGACATCCAGAGGCTCAGGGTGACATCGAGAGCTCAGGGTGACATCATGGTGGCCCCAGCTCACGGCGCTCTGGACCCGTTGGTGGCATCTCGGTGTCCCCAAGTCCTTGCGGGTTCCGGGTGACCGTGACCGGCCCCGGGCAGGTTCCGGGGGGATTTTGGGGACCCCCGGCTCGTGGGGGTGGTCCCGGGCCCCCCTCACGCGCAGGGCGCCTCCCTGCAGAGCCGGATGTGGATGGCCGAGTTGTGCCGCGGGTTGTCCCCGTCGCCGTCGCCGCTGTCGGCGCTGTCGGGGCGCTCGCGGTGCCGGTGGTCCCGGAGGGGCACGGAGGAGGTGCTGGCGTGGAGCCGCAGCGCGCCGCCCGCGCCCGCCTGCAGCTGCAGCGCCAGGTTGATGGTGCGGGGCACGGCGAGCCCCAGCCCGTGCAGCCGCAGCTCCCCGGGAGCCCCCCCGGGACCCCCGCCCGGCGCCAGCAGCCGCTGGCAGCGCCGCAGCTGCGCCCGGAAATCCGAGCGTGACGTCACGAACACGTCATTGCTGCCCGGGACGGCGGCGGCGGCGGCGGCGGGGGGGGAGCCCGGGGTAGGGGGAGGTGGCCCCGGGTGTGGGCGGGGCACGGCGGCGGCGGCGCGAGGGGGGCCCGGGGAGCGCCCCCGGCGGCGGGGACGGAGCTGCGGAGCGGCCCGAGGACATTCTGGGGAGGGGGGGGGGAAATGGGGAGGGGGCGTCATGGGGGGGATCCCGGAACCCCCCGGGAACCCCCCCGGGACCCCCGAACCTCCCCCACACCCCGAACACCCCCCCCCAGACCCCACAACCGCCCCCAGACCCCCCCAAACCCACCGTGACCTCCTCCCCCGAGGACATTCTGGGCAGAGGGGGGGAAAATGGGGAGGGGGCGTCAGAGGAGGAACCCGGGAGCCTCCCCACACCCCCGAACCCCCCCCCCCCCAGACCTCCCCAAACCGCCCGTGACCCCCCGTGACCCCCTGACCCCCCCCGTGACCCCCCAACCTCCCCCCCGATACTGAACCCACTCCTAGACCCCGCCCCAAACCCCCCGGGACCCCCCCCCGGGACCCCCTCCCCAAAATCCCCCCCCCCCCGAACCTCGCGCGTCCCGCGCCGCCGCCGCTTCCGCTACGAGGCCACGCCTCCCCCCGAGCCACGCCCCGCATCGGCGCGAACACGATATTAAGCACCGCCCACATCGAACCACGGCCCCCCCCGCGCGCCAGGGAGCGTTTTTTGGGGTGTTTTTGGGTTTTTTTAGGGCCGACAGGGGGCGCTCCGCCCCATCCCATTGCGCACGAGCCCCGCCCCCCCCGGATCCGCCATTTTGGGGGTTTTTAATTAATAAAAACCGTTAATTTTTTAGTTAATCAGGGGGATAATTGCGTGGGAGTGGCTTAAGGGAAACCACGCCCCTTTTCACAGACAGATGCCCACACAGCCCGCGCCCACAAAGGGGAGGAGCCTCGCCGCACAGACCACGCCCCCTGGCGGTTAACAAAGGGCCGCGGCCCCTTTAAGCGCCGCCATGGCGGCCAATGGGCGCGCGCGCCGCACGGCGGGCGCTGATTGGCCGCGGGCGGGGCCCCGCCCCCCTCCCCCGGCCGGCGCTGTCCCGGTGCTGAACGCGGCCATGAGCGGCGGCGTCTACGGCGGCGGTAACGGGGCGGGGCCAGGCCCCGGGGGCGGGGCTACCGCGGGGGGGCGGGGTCACTGCGGGAGGGGCGGGGCCAAGGCGGCCGGGGGGTAAAGGGGTGGGGCATGGGGGGGGTCCCCGGGGGTTCGGGGGGGTCCCGGTGTCACCGTTGTGTCCCCGTCCTCTCAATGTGAGGGGGGCGTACGGGGGCTCATTGTCCCGGGGTTTTCTGGGGGGGTCTCGTTGTCCTGGGGGGGTCCCGGTGTCACCGTCACTGTCCCTCAATGTGAGGGGGGTGTCCCGGGGGGGGTCTCATTGTCCTGGGGGTCCCGGTGTCACCGTCGTGTCCCCATCCCCTCAATTCCGGGGGGGGTGTCACTGTCCTGGGGGGGTCCCGCTGTCCCCTCAATGTCCTGGGGGTGTCCTGGGGTGCCCTCATTGTCCTGGTGTCACCATCGTGTCACCGCCGTGTCCCCTCCCCAGACGAGGTCGGGGCCCTGGTGTTTGACATCGGCTCCTTCTCGGTGCGCGCGGGCTATGCCGGCGAGGACTGTCCCAAGGTCAGTGGCACCGCGGCCCCCTCCTGTCCCCTCTGTGTCCCCCCCGTGTCCCTGTCACACCCCCCCGGAGAGACGGGGCCGCCGTGTCCCCAGCATGCCGTCCCCATGGTGGTGACGTTGTCACTGTGTCCCCAGCATGCCGTCCCCATGGTGGTGACAGTGCCACCATCTCCATGGCCATGGTGTCCCCGAGGCCACCCTAGGCCAACGTCCCCATGGTGGTGACATTGTCACTGTGTCCCCAGAATGCTGTTCCCCATGGTGGTGGGCCACCATCTCCACGGCCATGGTGTCCCCGAGGCCACCCTAGGCCAACGTCCCCATGGTGGTGACATCGTCACTGTGTCCCCAGAATGCCGTCCCCATGACCGGGGTGTCCCCAGGCCAATGTCCCCATTGTGGTGACAATGCCGCCGTGTCCCCAGCATGCCATCCCCATGGTGGTGACAATGCCACCGTGTCCCCAGAATGCCATCCCCATGGTGGTGACAGTGCCACCATCTCCACGGCCATGGTGTCCCCGAGGCCACCCTAGGCCAACGTCCCCATGGTGGTGACAATGCCACCATCTCCATGGCCACGATGTCCTCAGGGCCACCCCCAGGCCCTGTCCCCACAGTGGTGGCACTGTCCCCTCGCTGTCCCCAGGCGGATTTCCCCACCACCGTGGGGCTGCTGTCCCCGGACGAGGTGTCCTGGAGCTGGACGGGGACAAGGACAAGAAGGGTGGCAAGGTGTACTACATCGACACCAACGCGCTGCACGTGGCCCGCGAGGGCGTCGAGGTCCTGTCCCCCCTCAAGAACGGCATGAGTGAGTGTGGGGACACTGGGGGGACATTGGGGACAGTGGGGGACATTGGGGACAGTGGGGACAGCAGGGACATTGGGTGCATGGGGTACACAGAGCAATGTGTGGGCACCAAGGGGACTGCAGGGGACACGAGGAGAGATCAGGGACATTTGGGGACATTGGGGCACACGGAGAGGCACAGGAGGACACGGGGAGAAGGTGGGGGGACAGCACGGGGACATTTGGGGACATTGGGGCACACGGAGAGGCACAGGAGGACACCAGGGCCTGGGGGTCTCAGGGATCGGGTTGGGAGTCTTGGGGGTGGCTGCCGCGCCCCGGCCCGCGTGTCCCCAATGTCCCCAATGTCCCCAACGTCCCCAATGTCCACAGTCGAGGACTGGGAGTGCTTCCAGGCCATCCTGGACCACACCTACGGCAAGCACGTCAAGTCGGAGCCGGGGCTGCACCCGGTGCTCATGTCCGAGGCGCCGGTAGGTGTGACACGGCTGTCCCCTCCCCGGCGCCCCCTGGGCGTCCCCAGGTGTGACCTGGCTGTCCCCAGTGTGCCCCGGGTGTCCCCAGTGTCCCCCTGTCCCCCCTGTGTGGCAGTGGAACACGCGAGCCAAGCGGGAGAAGCTGACGGAGCTCATGTTCGAGCACTACAACATCCCGGCCTTCTTCCTCTGCAAGACAGCTGTGCTCACCGCGTATCCTGTGGCACCTGGGTGTCACTATAGTGTCACCCCTGTGTCACCTCTGTGTCACCTTCATGTCACCTCTGTGTCCCCCTCGGATCACCCTGTGTCCCCCCCGGATGTCTCCGTTGTGCCCCTTGACCCCTGGCTCAGCTGGGCAAACGGGCGCAGCACGGGGCTGGGTGTGTCGGGTGTGGCTGGGTGTGTCCAGCAGGGCTGGGCGTGGCCAGGAGAGGTTGGGCGTGGCCAGTGGGTGTGGCCAGGGCGGGTCCCGCCCCCGTTGTGCCCCCTTGACCCCCGGCTCAGCTTTGCCAACGGGCGCAGCACGGGGCTGGTGCTGGACTCGGGCGCCACCCACACCACGGCCATCCCCGTGCACGACGGCTACATCCTGCAGCAAGGTGAGAGCACACCTGGGACAGGTGAGAGAGAACCTGGGACACACCTGGGACACACCTGGGGCACACCTGGACTAGGGGGGGGCACATTGGGTACATCCTGCAGCAAGGTGAGAGCACACCTGGGACAGGTGAGAGAGAACCTGGGGCACACCTGGGACACACCTGGGGCACACCTGGACTAGGGGGGGCACATTGGGTACATCCTGCAGCAAGGTGAGAGCACCAGGGACACACCTGGGGCAGGTGAGAACACAGCTGGGACACACCCAGGCAGGGGAGGAGCACCAGGGACACACCTGGGACAGGTGAGAACACACAAAGGACACACCTGGCACAGGTGACAGCTTACCCGGGACAACCACAATGGCCACCCCCCCCGCCCCCCCAGCCAGGTGAGCCCCCACCTGTGGCAGGTGAGGGTGGGCGGGCCACCCCCCCCGCCCCCCCAGCCAGGTGAGCCCCCACCTGTGGCAGGTGAGGGTGGGCGTGGCCTGACGCCGGCCCCGCCCCGCAGGGATCGTCAAGTCGCCGCTGGCCGGGGATTTCATCTCCATGCAGTGCCGGGAGCTCTTCCAGGAGCTCAACATCGACATCGTGCCCCCCTACATGATCGCCGCCAAGGTGGGCGGGGCTAAGGGCGGCCAATCAGGGAGGGTTGGGCCACACACAATGCTCCTCCCACTTGTGGGTGGGCTTATGCTTAGTCCCATCCTTTTTGGGGCGGGCTCATTTAGCTCCACCCCTTTCTGAGCAGACTAAATTTTAGGTCTGCCCATTTTGGGGTGGGCTTTTCCCTTAGCTCCGCCTCTTTGAGATCACACCCCTCATTGGACACTCCTACCATTTAGCCCCACCCCCTGAGTGACATCACCCTTAGACTCCTCTTACCCCAGCCCAGGGGAGGCTCCTCCCCTTTCCTTTTGCATTATTACTCCAAAACCACGCCCCTTTTCTCCTCGGCCACGCCCCCACGGCCGCGGCTTCTCCCCCTGTAGGAGCCGGTGCGGGAAGGGGCCCCCCCGAGCTGGAAGAAGAAGGAGAAGCTGCCCCAGGTGTCCAAATCCTGGCACAACTTCACCTGCAACGTGAGATGGGGGGTTTGGGGGTCCCCGAGTGGGATTTTGGGGTCCCCGAGGGGGATTTGGGGGTCCCACCCCATTTTTCGGGGTCCCCGCAGGAGGTGATCCAGGACTTCCAGGCCTCGGTGCTGCAGGTCTCGGACTCCCCCTATGATGAGCAGTGAGTGCCGGGTCTGGGGGGGTTTTGGGGGGAATTTTGGGGTGGGGGGACCCCAAACTCGGCCGTTGTCACCGCAGGGTGGCGGCGCAGATGCCCACGGTGCACTACGAGATGCCCAACGGGTACAACACCGACTACGGGGCCGAGCGGCTGCGCATCCCCGAGGGGCTCTTCGACCCCTCCAACGTAAAGGTCTGGGCTTGGGGGTCCTGGGGGGGTCTCTGAGGGGGGATTTGGGCTCTCTGAGGGGTGTTTGGGGTCTCTGAGGGGTTTAGGAGACCCCCATGCCCTGAGTTCTGCCCTACTGACTCTTCCAGTGTCAAGGTTTGAGGGTCCCTGGGGGGGTTTTGGGGGTCCCAGGAGGTTTGGGGGTTCCCGGGGGAGTTTTGGGGTTTTTGGGACCCTCTGACCCCCCTGTTTTTTTCCCCAGGGCCTCTCGGGGAACACCATGCTGGGCGTGGGACATGTGGTGACCACCAGCATCGGGATGTGTGACATCGACATCCGGCCCGTGGGTCTGGGGGCGCCGGGGGGCCCGGGGGGGCGGGGGGGTCCAGGGGGGCGGCAGGGACCCCTCCCCACATCCCTGTCCCCGTGTCCCCTCCAGGGCCTCTATGGCAGTGTCATTGTCACCGGCGGGAACACGCTGCTGCAGGGCTTCACTGACCGCTTGAACCGTGAGCTGGCCCAGAAAACGCCCCCGGTGAGGGACCCCGGGACCCCCGGGATGGGGACCCCTAATCCCCCCTGTGAGGGACCCCCACAATTTGGGAAGGGGGGACCGAACAAAACCCCAAATTCTGCCTGGGAGAGACCCCCTGATGTTGGGATGGGGGGACCCCAGACCCCTCTGAGGACATTTGGGGGTGGGGGGGAACTAGACTGGGCCTCAGGGTTTCTCCCAGTTATCACCAGTCACTCCCAGTCACTCCTGTGATGGTTTCCCAGTCACCCCCAATAGCTCCCAGTGCTCCCAGTTGCCCCCAGTGGTCCATAGCTGTTCCCCAGTGGTCCCAGTGCTCCCAGTAACCCCCCTCTCCCAGAGCATGCGCCTGAAGCTCATTGCCAGCAACAGCACCATGGAGCGGCGCTTCAGCCCCTGGATCGGAGGCTCCATCCTGGCCTCGCTGGTGAGTGCGGGGCTCCAGGGGGAGCCGAGGGGTCCCCCCATAAAGGACCCCTCAAAACGGCCCCAAATTCCCTG